CTTCCACTGACGTCACGGCACTGGAAAAGTGCGGGTATATTTGAATGTTGGTTTTTGCATCATTTTCATTTGCCGATTTCGCAATAACTATTATGAATTTCGCGATACGAAATAGCATACCGGAAAGGGTAAAGGCCGGGGAGTAAAAAACTATAGTTAGTTGAGGTAGCTCAAAAAATCGCCGGAGCACCCCTTTAACACACCATTCATTGATCTGAGACAAATATTTGTTTCGCATAATTTGATCATTAACGAACTTTACTTCAGTATAAATCACACAATCGTCGGCAAATAATCTAGCTTTTACTGGTGAATCTTTGATGACGTCATTAATAAAAACCAAAAACAGCAGGGGACCCAGAACAGAACCCTGTGGAACATCCGAGTTCACATCGCATTCATCGGAGCTAACCTCTTCAATACTTACAAACTGACGACGATTATTTAGAAAGGCCTCAACCTACCGAACAATCTTATTATCTCCCAAGATGGAAATCAATTTAATTACGAGGTATCTATGATTAACTTTGTCGAATGTCTTCTTAAAGTCTAAAAATATGATGTCTGTTTGTCGCTTACGATCCGATACCTCAAAAAATGATGCATGGTTTCTACTAGTTGCGTGACCGTTGACAGCCCCCTACAGAAGCCATGCTGGTACTGGCTGAGAACGTTATTCGATAATAGAAATTCCCAGGTATGTTTAAAAACGATATGCTCAAGAACTTTGCACGATGTACACGTTAACGCGATGGGCCTATAATTGCATACTCACTTAGCATCTCCACTTTTCAGTATTAGAATTATCTTGCTGAGCTTCCAGTCATAGGGTACACTGCTAGTCAAAATCGACTTTTTAAAAATTAAGTGTAGGTACATCGCCGTCCATTCTGCATATTGCTTTAGAAAAGAATTTGAAATTTCATCCGGCCCCATGGATTTTGAAGTTTTTAAGTCAAGCAACAAAGCCAAAATACCCTCAACTGACAGTTGTAGGTCATCATCAGCCCGTGGAATTTCAGCAGATGATCTAAACTCTACAGACTGCTTATCGTCTTTTGTGAAGACGCTTGCAAAGAGCTCGTTGAATCGAACTGCAATTTCTCGCTCGTCGTTTATATTTCCTTGCTCCGTTTTGATCTCGGAAACTGACTTCCTAGAGGGTGCCAAATGCCTCCAAAACGTTTGCGGTGACTCACAAATAAACTTTTGCATTGTCACGTTATAGAACTTGCATTTAGATTCTTTTAGCACAAATTTTAGCTCCATGCTTAAAGCCAAGATATCATTCGATAATGGCGATCTATTCTTCATCTCACCTTAGCATGGACTATTGTTAACCGCGCATGCTAGAAGCGCGACCTAGTTGCTTTGGATGAAGCCTCGGCGGCGGCACGAGCGCTCGCGCAGCGAGTGCTCCAGTCAAGGCAGTCAAGGCTAGCCGCTCGCGCTTGCAGAGCCTTGGCAGTTAGTCCATGCTAAGGTGAGACGAAGTATAGGTGTACGACGATACCGTAATCTGCGTCGCCCTGTTTCCCTTTTTAAGTGAATAGCTTCTCTCGTCACCCAAGGATTATGCATTCGTTTACGTTTTCTTTTCAAGGGTACATACATATTTATACATTTATGAACGAGTGTTTTAAATTTCAACCAGAGGTCATTAACACTTACTGACTCATCACGACTAAGTTCCTCAAACGGTCCATAGTGGTAATCTAGTTCATCCAGAATAGCCGTGTCATCAGCCATCCCAAAGTCTCTGTAGGACGAAACGGGTCTGGGCGTTTTTCTAAACGGCGGCGTCACGGTCATATTCACGATAACTATCAGGTGATCTGAAAAACCTGGGAAGAGTTCAACTTCGTACGGCCGAGATGCAACCCCTTCGCTTAAAAATATGAGATCGAGAACTGACTTACTATTACCTTGAAAACGTGTATACTCTCGAACAACCTGTTTTAGCCCATGGGAAAATCAGAAATCTATAGGATCCCAGTGGCGGTTTCACGTTCCCGCGTCCCAGGCAACATTTCATCCCACATTACACCCGCTAAATTAAAATCTCCCGCAATTACAACATGTTTGTGCTGTACGCGCAGGTGGCGCAGAAAGTCATCTAATTTATTAACAGCATCCACACCTATACTACTGGAGAACGGTAAGCAGCACCAATAATCAATTCCTGGAATCCTCGATACACCTTGCACCACGCTGTTTCTATGTCAGGCGGACTCTGTAACACCGAGTACTTTATGCTTTTATCAATGAAGATGGTCACACCTCACTCTCGAGTGCTACGCTCATTTCTTATCACGTTATATCCAGGAGGACAAATTCCGGAGTTGAGGATAGCGGGATGCAGTTACGTTTCGGTCATCACTACGACATCGGGTTGCAGCTCAATCAGAATGTGTTCGAAATCAGTGCTTTTGTTGACAATACTGCGGGCATTAACATTCAATAACCGAAACTTATCCATGCACTCCTGTCATTCCCGTACAGCAGCATGGGCCTCTGTCGCACGGCGGGACGCCCGATCACTCACTCTGAAACGCTGACTTGTTACTTCGTCCCAGGCATAGATAACACTGTCTACTTTCAACTTATCAAAAACCAATGCAACTTTCTTTGCGTTCTTCCTGTCTTTAGAGGCGCTGCGCCAAAGTTTCTGCCTTTTCAGTCTGACAGTGCTGAAATAGCCTTCGTTAATGAAAACGTTTGTACCTTTCATCTTTTTGGCATTGCGTAATATTTCCTTCTTTTCGCTAAAATTTCCAAGGTCCAGGATGACAAACCTAGGCCTGTCCTCTGTAGACTTCCCCACTCTATGTATGCGTTCGACACTCGTTACTGAGACACCCAGTTTATCCCGAAATATCCGTTCGATCACTGCGCCCCTTAGTTTTAGCTCGTTTTCGTTTGCAGCCTCTTCTAGCCGCCAAATTACTAGATTATTACGCCGACTATGATTTTCGAGGTCGTCAATCTTCCTTAACATGCTGTCCATAGTAGCACGGATTACAGATACTTCCTTTTCGGACTCATCAAGCCTCTTTGTGATCTCAGCCATCTCCAATACAGTTTTTTCTACTTTAGCCAATTTCTCCTTCATTTCCACTATATCCCTCCTGATTTCATTTTGACCGTCAAGGGTGGCCTGCAGCTTGGCTGCGGTGTTGGGGCCAGGATTTGTTTCTATGTCACTACAACGCAAAAGTGACAACGCGATGGTGTCACAACACTCAGAAACAATTAAACACAGGGCATGCGGGCTCGGTAGCACAAGCAAACAGCGAAAATCATCACGAATGCAGCTGTAAAATTGATTATCACCAACCTGAGTGAAGAACAAAAGTGGACATGTCATTCCGCTCATGCCGGTTTGCGCTTTAGAAAGAGCAGGGTTATCCTTGCTTTACACAGGATAACTGGAACGCCCGGAATTAGTCCTTCCACGTTTTTACCAACAAACGGAATTTAAACCCGACTTAGAAATACGTTTAGAACGCTTTTGGTAATACTACATTGAGGAGAGTTTGAAACTAACGAACACTTAACAGACGAGACTTCGATGATGTTGTACTAAATTTGTTCGTACTATTGTACCAAGACCTTTCGAACTTAGGTAGCAGAAAATGCAGTTCTGGGATGCATTGGTATGTAGGGATACGAACCACTGCAAGGCAATCAGTAAAAGTGTACGAGTCTGATAGTATTTTGACCGTTAAGGGCACACCTACTTATCTTGGGGAACAAACAGACCGCTCTACGTCAGAGCATGAAAATAGCACCGGTAAACTATTTTTTACTTTTTTTTTTTTTTGGCTAGAGTGTGAAAATGTGCACTTTGTTTACTTGTCATTTTTCCACTTGTTTCGTCGGCTAGTTTTTGCTCAGATGCTTTTTTTTTTCAATTAAACGGAATATTTACTCGATGCCCGATCTTTCTTGGTATTAAACATCTTTTCCGGAAACAGCACACTCTATATTGTTGCAAGAAACATACACTTATCGATATGAAACATTTTTATGGTCTAAATTATAGAAAAAAAACTCGTTTTATGTTTTTTTAGCTTATAAGTATTCACACATACAATCCTCAGGATTTGGCATGCCAGTTCTAAAAACTGCTAGCATAATAAAACTTTTTTTTTTAAATAGCCACACACTGTTGTGCGTACTATGCTCATGCGACAAGGGTTCTTTGCTAAAGCTCCACGCCTAGCCTGTGATTTCTGTTTTGCAGTATGTAAAATATTGTACGACCACGAGTATATGTATATATTTTCTGCTTTATATCAAGTCGATGTAATACTCTCGGGAATGTATGTCATAACTACTTCGCTTGGAACTCAAATTGTGAATTGTAACTTACTCTTTGAAATACTGCCAATCATATTACGTAACCAAAATAAAGTTTTTTTTTTGTTTTCGTTTTTTTTTTTTGTTGTTGTTGTTGTTGTTTTTTTGCAAAAAAAAAAGGTAACGTAAAAAAATGAGAAAAAATGTTTTTTTTTACGAGTTTTTGTGTGACGAGTACTCAGGCATGATGGGAATTCCTCGTACGAGATGCCCTGTGAAAATTTGGCCTACCGGACGAGTTCACCTATGACCAGTTGGCTAGTGACGACTGAGCTTGTGACGAGCTTTTAGACCCTAAAATTTTAATGCAAGCCACTGACACAATTTATCACAAAACTTAAGAAATTCTGCGGGAACCGTTTTGATTGTTTATATTCTTCGCAGACGCTCACGTGACTTGATTTCGGTTGGAATGGTATAAACACAGGATATAGAGCTTGCTTATGTTATATCCTGTCCCCGATATCTGACACCCGCACGCCGGCCGTGTACATCCGCAGCGTCACGGGTTGAGGAATTGTTCATTCGCGCGTCCGTAAGATATCTTCAGTTTTATTTCAAACTTCTTCGCTGAAAGGTGTTCAATAGCAAAAGCGTGCTCCCTGTCAAGCATGGCGATTTTCCCAAGTGTTTCTTTTTGGATCGCTGCAGCAATCATGGCTGCACAAGTAACTGGTCTTAACTCCTCGAAACTTCTCGCAGCCGACTGTCCGCAACTCAGTCATTGCGTCTGTGGTCAGTACGCAAGGTACATCCGTATTTACTGCTCAACGCACGTCAACTTCAGTCTCAATTTTGGAGACATCTCCAGCGACCTCGTCAAGCTACCAGGGTTGAAGATTAAAAAGCTCATTATCAACAGAGTAAACGAAACTGTCTTACCATCAAACTTTCTAGCCAATCTTACAATAACAAATCTCGTGATAAACGACGACAGGTTAGAATTCATCGCCGACGAAGCATTTGTGGGCGTACTCAAACTGACCAACCTGATCGTGCTCACCACTCAGCTCAAGAGTGTCCCGCACGCTGTCTCATTTCTTGGACCCAAGCTTATAAATCTGGAGATGACCAATAACCGCATCGAAAAAGTCGACGACGTCCTAAATAAATTAATTAACTTGGAAATCCTAAACTTGGAAAACAATCGCATTGTGAGTCTGGATGACAACTTGTTCGCTAATCTTATTCAGCTGAGAGAGCTTCGACTGGGAAATAACATGATCGAACATCTTCCCACATCACTGAGTCGAGCGAAGCACTTAGTATTCATGGACCTGCACAATAACAACATCAAGGTACTTGGAAGTGTTCTTCGAGGTCTTCGGCAATTAAGGGTATGTATCCTTCCTCATGAATATATTCACGTTGTCAGAATGTTTCCCGAAATTCGGGCCAAATCGTTCCTGCGAGAAGTACGCATCGCACAAAAAAAAAAGAAAAAACTTTCAGCCTTTCCACTTTGGTGAAAAAGGGAGAGCAGTGGAGCTGTACAATGGAAAGTAAAGGCCACCCGCAAGTCGGCAAGCGAGAGTAGAAAGGATGCCGCCATCTATGAGCGACGGCGGCAACCAGATACGTGGCTTGCGGTCGTCGCTCATAGATGGCGGTAGGTGTCCAGAGTTCGGTGTCTTCCTTTCTCTGCGGGGGACATGATCCTGGTGAAACTAGCCCTTAACAGCTCCGCTGTAAAAAAAGTTAATGTCGTACCCATATCTACCGAAAAGCCCATTTGCAAAAAAAAAAAAAAAGTAGTAACATTCAGTAATAATAGACCCTTTCCAGAATTCAGTCTGGCAACTTTGATCACTATCATCATCTGAAAAATGACAAATGTGCTATACTAATGGCGGCCTTTTGTTTAGTGATGAAGGAAGAAGTTGAAGATACTCCTAAGCAGATGATTCGATGCCTATACATTTTAGACGTCAGCGCGGCGCGAAGCAGGAATTGGCTGCAAGAGCTGCGTAAGCGCTTATTTCTAACTCGGGCCCAGTCCATCTGTTAGTAGCACACACTCGGCTTCAAACCCCCTTGATGTATAGAATTTTATCGAGGCGTCTATGTGGGCTGGCGTTTCGTTTTGACTGGTTGCATCTTTTTCGCCATCGACACTGAAAGAGATTCAAAAAGAACTGTGCAGTGAAGCGCGCGTTCTCGTTTACCGTTGACTTGCGAAAGTGACGGTGCCCCAGAAGATACTGCAGACCACAGGTTCATTGCCGCCATTAGTACGGTTAAAGTTAAACTGCCATTTGAGTCACCAGATGGCACTGAATTCCGGAAAGGGTCTATTGCTTTCGAGTAATTAACTTTTAGAGCGCAGCCCTTAGGCGCCCGTTTCCGGCTTAAGCGGCGTCGCCATCGCCGTCGGCGTAACCGCGCGTTGCATTATGGGAAGCTTCCCACAATGACGTCACACGTGACGTCACGTGTGACGTCACGGAGGTAACTCGAGAAGGTCACGACCTTCACAGTAAGGTCACGGCCTTCACGAGAGTCACAAGTGACGTCGCGAGGGAGGAGGGAGGCCGGGGGAGGAAGAGAGGGGGAGGAATGGGAGGAGGAAGGGATGAAGAGGAGAGGAGAATGAGAGGAGGAGGAGGGAGAGGATGGTGCTCTTGGAGAGGGAGGAGGAGGGGGAAGGAGGAGATTGAGAGGAGGAGGGAGAAGAAGGAGGAGGGAAGGGGAGGAGGAGGAGGGAAGAAGGAGAGGCTATGGAGAGGCATACCCTCCTCTCCGTACCCTCCCCTTTTCCTCCTCAAGAGCTGCGCTCTAATTCGGCATTACAGGGAATCGTAAACCTCCTTCACTTTTTAATTAGTAAACTGAGACATGATTTTAATTAGAACTTCTGGATATCATCGAAAACCAGTATAAAACTCATTTTAGAAAAATATATCATATAAGGCACGTTCATAAACTATACCCCCCCCCCCCCCAATGACTCTGGAAGGGCGCATGTTCAGTAGTGTTCTATTGTTTTGGGTTTTTTTTTTAGTGCAACACAACAAAAGTAGAATCTTACTTAATTTGCGCCCCCCCCCCCCCCCCCCCGGAGTCATCGGAAAGGGGGCGAGGGGGGGAAGGGGGGGGGGCATAGCATCCGTGCCTGCTCCACCATCAGGCTGGTATGGTCTAATCTAATCGGTTAAGGCGTCGCTCCAGATGGGCGAAGGTTGGGGGTTCGATCCCCGTTCCTGGCCCGACTTTCACCAGCTCTCCTTTCCTTTCCCTTCCCCTAAATTTGATATAATATATTTAATAATCACTCTCTCCCCTCTCATGTATATATAATATATATATAGAAAGCGTTCCATTTGGACGCATTTCTAGATTTCGGTTTCTTATCGGAGCGCATCACCGCGCCCACGGTCCTGCTCCCCAGTGGCTGAGACGCGCAACACACGTGCGCCCTACTTTCCTCCATTCCACAAGGGAGCGAGGAGGTAGCTTCGCGCCTCGACCACCGGGGAGCAGGACCGCGGGCGCTCCGATAAGAAACCGAAATCTTGAAACGCGTCCAAATGAAGCGTTTCTACAGAACGCCGTAAAATGCTGCCCCGGCGTGATATCATGCTAAAAATAGTTGATTTAGGGGTTTTCGATGATGCTCAGCAAGTTTCTAATTAGAACTATATGTCTATTTTCACTAATTAAAAAGTTAATTAACAATTTTTAATTAATTAGCCAACTTATCGCAAAGATTAGCCCTCCACATAATCTCCGCCTGGTCTTATAACCCACCTGCACAAACCGCATTTGTATAGCTTTCACGGTTTTTTTATACAAATGTGTAAGAATAAAAAAACACCCTATATATATATATATATATATATATATATATATATATATATATATATATATATATATATATATATATATATATATACATATATATATATAGATAGATAGATAGATAGATAGATAGATAGATATTGTTACAGATCGCTCTTTTTGTTGCTGCCACTTCGTCCATCTCCCGTCTACCACCCTCTTTTTCTTCCTTTTGGTCCCGCTCGTTGCGCCTCAATGTCTTACTGTCACACTTTCCTCTCTCCTTGTTGACTGTCCGTCTTCGGCAGTCTGTGTCCCACGCTGGTCTTGGATGAATGTCTGTCTTGACACGTAAAGCTTCAGTTGACTGCGGTGAGCCGGGAAAGTCCGGGATGCTTCTAGAGGTGCATTGAGGTCTCGTAGCCGGTAGCTCACGGGTCCTATTTGTCGAAGCATTTCACAGGGTCCTTTGTATTTTGTAAGTAGCTTGGTTGGCTTTTCCTTTCCTTCTAACAAGACGGCGTACAAGAACAAGGTCCCCTGGCACGACGGGGGACATTCTGTCGTCCCGTCGGTGATTGGTTAGCATCCGCTGCTGGGCTCTGGTAATTGCGACGCGAGTCCGGCGGCGAGCCTCGTTGAGTCTGTCCTCAAAATGATCGCTCATTTCTTGTTTGCTATGGTTCCACGGGGTGGATAACGTTGATTTCTGTGGCAGAACCGGAGTTCTACCGCACACCAGTTTAAACGGGGTCGTCATGGTACTTGATTGTTGCAACGTGTTTAAAGCAAATGATGCGTATGGTACGTACACATCCCAATTGTCATGTGAAGCATTAACATAAGTGTACAATATATCGGCGATAGTTCGATTAGCACGCTCGACGAGTCCGTTGGTGTGGGGATGGTAGGGTGCTGACTGGGCGTGGTGTATTCCATGAGTTACCATCTCGTGTTTGAAAATACGAGAGCTGAATGGAGTTCCTCGATCAGTGAGTACGGTGCGGGGTACGCCGTGGCGAAGTACTATTTGCTCATGTAGAAACTCCACAATGTGATTCGCTGACGTTGTAGGCACGGCACGTAGCTCAATCCACTTTGTAAGGTGGTCAACTGCGACAATAATGAAACGGTTGCCCTTTTGTGATTTCGGAAATGGACCTAAATGATCAAGTCCAGCTTGTGGTGGTTGAGTCAGATGAATCTCGGTGAAATGTGAAATACTGGGCAATTTCATCCTTTGACATGATTCACAAGAAGCGACATACCTGGAAACATATTTCCGGAATCCGTGCCACCAATAGCGTTTGGAAAGTTTAACCAGAGTCTTATCTCGACCTGAGTGACCTGCTGTGAGGTCATCATGGCAGAGATTCAACACGGTAGCCCTCAGACAAGCTGGAACCACCGGTAGCCATTCTTGTTGACCGGAATTGCTGAGACAGAGTAGGCCATTTTCCACTCGGTATGCTCGACGCCGTCGCCGTGAAACGTCTGTCGAACCGGGTAATGCGAGGCGTTGTACGATATCTTGTACTACGTTATCTTGACATTGAGTGTGATGTAGGTCGAAAGTCGCGCCACAAAAACAAGTGCCACACTCCGGAGCCTCAGGGATCTTGTCTAGTGGGTAGCGGGATAGAAAGTCAGCGTCCCGATGACTACGTCCGTTACGATGTATGACTTCAAAATCATACTCTTGCAGTAGAATCGCCCAGCGTGCCAGTTTTGCCGTCGAGTCTCGTTCGCTCTGAAGCCAGGTCAATGCTGAATTATCTGTCACAACAGTAAAATGGCGACCATAAAGGTAAGGGCGAAATTTCTGCACCAATCAGACAAGGGCCACACATTCTAATTCAGATGAATGATTCCTCTCTTCTTGTTGTGTAAGCCGGAGACTTTCGTACGAAATTACTCTTTGAGTACCGTGTGGAAATTCTTGCAGTACAGCTCCAAGTCCTTGCCCACTAGCATTCGTGTGGAGAATGGTCTTTAACAAGGACGGATCGAAATGAGCAAGCACTGGGGCGTTTAGAAGGGCCATTTTTAAGTCTTGAAACGAGGACTGCTCTTCGTTGCCCCATCGCCATGGTACGTTCTTCCGGAGTAAGTTATTCAAGACAGCAGCGCGGGTAGAAAAGTTCACAATAAAACGGCGGAAATATGACACAAATCCCAAAAAAACTTCTGACGTCTTTGATAGTTGTTGGCGTCGGATATTCAAACAAAGCCTCAAGCTTCGAGGGATCAGGTTTCACGCCGTTTTTGTTTACCACATGTTCCAAGTATGCGATCTCTTTTAAGCCGAAAAAACACTTTTGGAGCTTCAGACGAAGGTCACTCGGCATCACTTATGGCGTCAAGTACGAGTGAGAGCCTTCGAAGATGTTCTTCAAAAGTGTTTGTGTAGATAACAACGTCGTCCAAATACACCTGCGCCATTGTCCACTTCAGATTGCCCAAAACTCGGTCCATGAGTCTTTGAAATGTCGCTGGGGCACTGCAAAGGCCAAAGGGAAGA